TTGTAATCAAATCTTGTATTATTACTTTCTCAATAAAGATAAATCTGTTAAATAGGCTTAAAAAAAAAAAGGTAATGCAGAAAAAAAAAATAGCAAATAAATAATAATTTATATATAAATTTTATTGAAAATTTTTTATATACTGTAACTATTACTTTAAAAAAAGTATAAAAAATATAAAATAACTTTATATTTTAAAATTTTATCAAAAGAAATAATAATATTCAAATAGTTTCAATAATTATTCAATAAAATTTTTTATTAATTATTAAAAAATCAATGATATAATAAATTTTTGAATAAATTAGAAATATTAAAATTATAAAAAAACTCAAATTTAAAAATTTGTGAAATAAAACTATCCATGATTCAAAAATTTTATCAAGTAAATTGTTATAGTTTTATTATTTCAAAATGAATAAGAAGAGATGTTAAATAAGATTTAATGAAACAAATCTATATAAAATTTTGATAAATTATTAATATAAGCAAATATTAGAATTTATCAATTAAAAAAAAATTTTTCTTTTTTATTTTATATTTTATATTTTAAAGACTCGAATTAAATCTTCATAAATACGAAAATGAGCTATATATTTAATGAAATTTTTATTACAATAATATTTAAATAAATTTTGATAAGATATTAATTAAAATATCAAATCAATTTTTTTAATAACATATAATCTATGATACAGTATATTGTGTATATGATATATTTATTAATAATATTAAATGATTATTCTAATTTTAGTTTAAAAGTGGAAGTTGATTTTTTATTGAAATATAAATTTAATATATAGCATATTAGTTTATCATGTTACTAGTTCTAAAAGAATATTTTGTCAATATTACGAATCATGCTCCGACGGTCGTTCGATCTCAAACGGCTGTTCTGCATTTTTGGTTAAACCGTGATGAACCGAAATCTCGTTACAGATGAAATCTTTTGAGAGTGATGCCGGAAATAGCCTATTTGAGGAGTTAGTAAGAAAATTTAATCTTTCACTTTGAGAAAATAACCGTGATATACTGTATTTATGCCTTTTTTAGAAAGTATCAGATGTTTGGGTAGATTAAATAACGAGAATTCGTGGACATGAAAAAAAAAATTTTTTTTGATGAAAATCACCAGAGTTTTCGTGTATGAAATATGCATCACGAATGTGTCAATTACTTAAAATTTGGAAATATGGCGATTCATTCTAAACGAAAAATCTTGTCCCATTCAAGTTTTTCACACCCATAGTAACAGCTAGGTTTTCTCGGGTTATTTTTCTACTCGAATTAAGATTTGAAGGAATCCAAAGTGTTCACCACAGAAAATTTGTGAAACAAAATATTCAAAGGAATACATACTGTATTTACGTGCGTTCGCATCAAAATGTTGAATGGATTTTTTGTTTTTCTAGTGCAAGGATTAGCACCACCTTCTGGTGGCTTCGAACTTACTTTAAACCGATTCTTTTTTAAGATTATTGAAACCGGTTACAAAAGAACCTGAACTCCGATCACAGTTGTCATCAGGCTTGATCCGGAAAATGAACTGGTAAGTTAAAAACGTGAGATCGTGGATGCGAAAACAGAATTTCCGAAATTCCGAATTCGATTCGCATCCATAACAGCATTTTTGAGAGTTCATTATTTTGAAACGTTCTCAATTAACATTTTGCGTTCGGCTGAGAAGACCTGGTCAATGAACATTCTTGTGACAAATAGGTTTGAAGCTAGCAATTGATGCGCACGGAAGTGCATGCATCATATGTGGACATGCACATTATAGTGTATGCACTTGCTGCACATACTGTACATAAGAAATAAGAAATAGATAAAGAAAATAGAACCAGCGGTCGCCAAAATAAATAATGGAAACTAGATTTTAAAGTCTCTTTTGCGCTTCCTTCAACAATCGTTATTTGAAAACATTGTTTTCACAAACTTGTGTCACCATATCGTCTACCAGACCTTCTGTATCACACCCCAAACATGACTTCGCGCGGATATTGCTTACTAATCAACTCGTACGTGTGCGTGTTTACTTTCGACACAGCGACCAGCGATTGAAAGAAAGACAGGAGGTAATTTCACCTTGGTCGGAAAGGGGCAATGGTGATTAAACGGGGATGACTAATTCTTCCGTACGAGAAAATATCGTGCATTTTCATTTCATCATCATGTCAACGTTGTCAAATTCTAGTATGTGTGTATGTACGAATGTACGTACGGCAAATAGTGAAAAAAAAAAAAATCTCTTTTTTTTTTTTAATTAGACCCTTTCAAAGTTCATGCGTCAAAGGAATTACTGTATTTACATACATACAAATATTTTTTTTTTGTGCAACAAATTTTCCCCACAAAAAAAAATCAAGAACAAAAAAAAAAATTTTTTTTTTTTTTCTTATTTACACAAACAAATAAAACTAGAGTGTCATCTAGCATCTTTTACAGCAGAGACAATACGCAAGGATTACGTATTGATCAAAGCATCCAAAGTTTTAGGTTTCTTAACACCTTTTTACTCAAAACCCTCTCAGCTTACGCATCGTCAAATCAATAATTGTTAGCGGCCAATTTTCTTTTCATAGTAACAACATCCGTTCAGGCGATTTTCTCGCTTCACGGAGTCACACATTTTTTAAGATCCGGTGGAGATTAATGAGAGATGAACTACGATATTCGCGGCATAGTTTCAAATTAAGTTCCTTGATGTTCACAATACCAAGGTCGTGATATTATTGTTATTTATTTTATTATTATTATTATTATTATTATTATTATTATTAATTTTTTTTTTTTTTAAAAAAAAAACCTGTTTTTTTTTTACCCCACAAAATAATAAGACGTGGGAAGTAAATCTTTCGATCAATAATCGGCCTGTAATTCATTTTTAACCAAATGAGCAATTAATGAAATTAATGATAATAATATCCCTATGAATTTAAGAAGAGGTGAAGGATCAATTTCATGAGAAATGAGCATGCAAATGATGAGCATGAAAGTATGATATCGGCAGTCGGAAAAGAGTATGTACCAATGAATATTGTACTTTGCGAATGCGCAGGATGGAACTCGTGCGGAATAGAATTTATTCAAGGTGTGCTCTCGCTTTTCAAGGAATATGATTTTCTCAAAAATATAGAGAGTGGATATACTGTAGAGTATATACAGTATAATATGTGATGATGATGGTCACTATCACGTGAGGGGTTTTTTTTTCGGCCCATGTCACGTGGAAGCCCTAAAAAGAATTAAAAATGAATCCCTGTATGTTCAACGTGACCGCTTACTAATGAAAGAGAGGGACCCAAATCGCCCAATATCGCATTGGCTTATGAAAAAAAGTTTTTCCTTGTAAATTTTTGGCATTCTTTCGTAAGCAATTATTTTTAACAATTATGGACCCTTCATTAGTATAAGACAAATGTCACGTTTAACCTAGAAACCTTGTAATGCTTGACATCACTCAAGATTGTTACACCGCATAATTTCTACTAAACGTTGACCTAAATTCTAACATATCACATTAGTTCCTAGATCATCTGAAAATATAGCATACATACAAAGCGTATGCATGTGGATACCCTAAAGAAATAATAGGGATTTATCATTAACACATGGAAGGGAAATGATATGCTGCCTACATTTATCCTGTTCGTGGCCAACTCACCGTTTCCGGACATGGAGTGGAAACCGAATTCCTTATTTGTTTGGAAATCCAGAGTTCCCAGAAGGTCATCGACTCCACGCAGAAAAAAAAGCCATCGAGATTTCATTTAAAATAATGTGAGAGGATAGCACATGTATGAATGAAACCGGGTAGTGATTAATGGGGGTTGTTAAAACTCGACAAAAAGTATCATCACATTCTTTTGTGGTGGTGTTGTTGTTTAGTGTATGGATGCGCACTTATCCGATTAGTTTTCCATTTTCACACGAAAACCACATGTGAATGAAGCATCTTGCACATAATGATATCATAACCTTACCATATCAATCTTACAAACCACAACATAAACACGTACACGACATAAAATCGTATTATTCACTTGTTACTACTATTTCAAGCTTTAATATTTCTTTTGATGTAACAGAAGAATAAAACCAATGATTAATAATAATAAATAATAAATAATAATAATAATGTTGTTATTTTCATTAACATTAACAATAACGGAAAGAAATTCTTATATTGCCAAATCTAAATACCCAATATACTGTGCATAAATAACGATAATAGGAATTTCATCAACTTCTCGTCCCCAGCTATTTCCCTGCCATCACCGTCATTGATTTTGTGAGCTCATTGCCACACCCGAACTTTATTCTTTTTCAGGATTTGTTAATCACTCCATGAAAACTTATCACTCATGCTACACGCATTCTAATCGGTTAAATCACTCTTTCTTTTTATCCTCAATACATAAAGTGTCGGTATTTTAAAGTGGGATTTAAATCAATATACTGTGTTTTCATATAACAAGGGGTGCAAACAGGTATGTGAGCGGCTTTTTTATGCACAAGAAGTGGTCCTAATACAGCCAGAAGAGTTTACCAGAGTTTTTTTTTTTTTTTTTTTTTTTTTTTTTCTCCTTCTACTAACGAACTTTTCCCGTAAATAAATATAACGAGGAAGCTTCGACTATTGGTAGCTGGTAGTGGAGAAAATTTCCATTCAAATATAAGACACACACACATATATATATATACACCGAGTCTCCTTATTCTATATAAAGTCGTCTCATAATTCACCCTTAATCTTTTTTTTTTTTTTTTTTTTTTTCCTCCCTTGTTCTTCGATTATTTCTGTACAAACTAATTTTGTTTCGAGATAAACATAATCCTATCCACCTGCTTTATCAATCCGAAGACGGACAATCAACAAACTTTACATTGGAAATAAAAATTACCCGAACCTTAAAAAAAACGCAAGGACATTGTTGAACTCTTTGTATCAGAGTCGAGTTACGATTTCAAAGTAGTCGTTTTGCAAAAGGAGGATTATGGCAGACACACCTCAGACTCCTCGTACGAAGACGTCAAAACCTTCTTTGGATATTGACGTCTTTTCGGAAATTGGTTCACCCATCTCTCCATCTTCACCCTCCTTTAGCGCCTGCCCTTCACCAACCTTTTCCTTCTCAATGAACATGAATAAATCTCAGGCTGAACTGACTGCGTTACTGAAGGACGCTTATAATGCGTTAAAAGAAAAAGAAAGAGGTAAAAATTTAATGACAAATTATTGTTGAACACGAGTTCTTTCAACATTCGGAATTTGATGGCGTCCCTTAAAAAAAAAATAATAAAAATAATAAAAATAATTTTCATCGTTGGTACATGTCAATGCAAATTTTTTATTCCTTTCATCAATGTAGATCTTACGTTGGCCGCTGAAATTGGAAAAAGTCTACTTGAGAGTAACATCTCCCTCAAAGCAAAATGTGAAGCGCTGGCCACTCAACTTCAACAATTGCAGCGCGATCGCACTAGGAATGCCACATTTACTCTGCAAGCCGGAGCAGTTAATAAATCCAATGTACCTCCGATAGCGCCGCCAGATTCATTCTTAGATGAATTCGATTTCGAGGAAAGCGACACCGATTCAATTTATGGACGGAGCAGTTCCGTTGACATTTCACATTCAATACACGAACCATCAAAAAAAAGTAAGCAACATGTAAATTATAATGACCTCGAAAATCTGAGGGAATTGGAAAATAGAAACCTGTTTCTCCAATCACAACTCGATGACGCAATAAAGGAGTGCGCGGAGAATGAAAAATTGAATAAGGCAAAACTCAGAAAACTTGAATCCGAACTTCTTCATTACCAGGATGTCTATTCCTCGGCCACATTAAAGATTGAAGATCTCGAGAAGGAAAAAGAACGTTTAATTCAAAAGCAGAAATCCGAGTTCTGGAATCTGAAGTATAACAAGAGCGACAATGATGGTTATGTCGAATCATTGTTGATTAGGCTCTCGGATTTGGAAGAACAGAACCATAACATTAAACGAACAAAGGAGGAAATCGAGAGACGCCTTGCCCGCGTTACTAGAGAATTGGATGCTCTCCAGAAGCAGTACAATGAGTTGGCAGAGGCGTCAAAAGATAACGAGATCTTACGCGTAGCTACTATGGAACAAGATCGTCTCATCACCGATCTACATGAGACCATAGAAGAACAAAAAATAATTATAGCGGGCATGCGAGCAGGGTACTCGCGAAATCAATCACGGTCGAATTCTTTCTCAGAAAACAATATAATGACAAATGCCATAAGACGACTGAGTAATCCGGATAATTTCTCTTTGTTTGGTTCGGCTAATTCCGATCATCAATCAAAATCATTGCTTTCCGAATTCGAGAGCGAGTGGTTCCGACAGTTGACCATGTTCCAGAGAGACGGAAAGAAATTGCGGGGCAACATTGATTCACCGCTATTTTCACCGGCGTCATCAGAAAGGGATCCCAATAGCTACTTTTCACATCCAGATGACGATATATCGCAAATAGATTATTTGTCTGATGGCGAATTCAGTTTCTTGGATGAATTCGAAGATGATGAAGATACAATTCGAAAACGCGAATGGTTCTGGAGGAGATGGATTAGAAGATGGGTTGAGGCTATTTATGCGTTCCTGATGATGGTGTGGAAATGGTGTCGATTTCTCTTTCTTCTTATTGCTGCAGACATTATGGCTCTCTATCGTGGACCCGATTACTTTTTGTCTAAGGAAATACATTAAAAAAAAAGAGAAAAAAACCTTATCCTATAGACGAATTATTATTATATGGCCGAACCTACGGACTTTATTTTTTTTTTCTCCCTACTTTATATTCCCTGAATTCCTTTTTTACCTCTGGCACCGCCCATCGTCATCCCTTCACAAAAATCAAAAACCAAGCGTAGACTTCACATTTTAGAGTATTATTTGTATTATTAAATTTTGTTTTTGTACCTTCATACATCTTACTCCCTTACTTTATTCGAACTCGCCTTCCGCTTCCATTCTCCACACATTGGACAATATCTTAAAGTTTTCTATACCGATGAATATAAGTCTCATAGCTTTTGGGACTGTAATATAGAACTCCTTTTATATCTTATCACGCTGAATGTTTTTTTTATAGTACTTATTACA